TATAGCCCACCCCCCTGCTCAAGCAGGAAATCCTATACCATTTCAGATAAATGGCTGTCCAATCTCTTCTTTAAAACCTCCAGTGTTGGAGCATTCACACCCACTGGAGGCAGGTTGTTCCACTGATTAATTGTCCACACTGTCAGGAAATTTCTCCTTGGTTCTAGGTTGCTTCAATCTAGATCAGATTGAAGAGAATAATTGTAGATCACGGTTGGACTGTGGGGTCCTTGATGATCTCTGAGCTTGTTTTTCTGAAGATGTTTCATAACCCAACTAGGTAACATCATCAGTGCTAAAAGGGAGTGGGGTTTGTCTCTATCCCCTCCCCTCTAGCACTGATGATGTCACCTAGTTGGGTAATGAGACGTCTGCAAGAAAACAACCACGCTCAGAGAACACCAAGGACCCCACATCTAAATCACAGCTAGGGATGGCTCAAAGCAGCGATTGAGTTTAAAAGTAATATCGGGAATGGAAACGGTGATGTTCCCCTGTTTTTTTCCCTTGCCAGAAAAACCCACAGACAGTGCGGCAGGCAGAGGAGGTTCGTGCACTCGAGCACCTCAGCATGGATGTAGCTGTCAACTTCAGCAAAGGGGCCCAGCTTAGCTCTCACATCTACAACATCTGTTCAGAGGCCAAGGAGACCATCTACACGCGAGAAGAAGATGTGAAGTTCTGGATGGAGAAAGGTAGGAAGCACTTTAGCCATCAGGGGACAGAGTAATGCCCCTCATGCAGGGATTGTCCTAGCTGACAATCAAATACTTCATTGCCTGCTATATTTTCCCAAATGGAAACAAATACTGCTTTTGTAGACATGGAAAATAGAAGAGGAATGTCGGTTGAAGGGTTAGGATGGGAGGGCTTATTCACAACTTTCATGGAAATAGATAAGCTTTCCTTAAGGATTAGGTGTGCAAAATAATCCATTGTGGAGCAATCTGACTGTAAAACAGGCCATTCTGAATGTTTCGCTAGTAGAAATAGACTTTCTGTCCATTCAAGGCTGAACCGCTCCAGAATACTATTGCTGGTCCATTTTGAGGATGGAACAGCCTAATTTTGGAGTGAGACGTTCTGTAGTTCAGACTGTCATGGTTCCGACAGACAGGGACAAATAAAGCAGAACTCCAAGGCTTGGGAATTCCTCAAAGAACATGTTTATTAGGTTCATAATATCGGCTTGGTCAAAAGTGAAACCAAGTCTGAATACACAAGTAACAATTGCCCAATTACAAAGTCTCACCCACAAAACTATGCAAGCAACTACGTTCCCCAATATACTCATTTGGTGGGCTTTTTTAATGCAACGCCCAGTGCCTGCTCGTGGGAACAGTAGATGACCTTGGTTCCCATGGGATAGAATATTATTTTGATTAACGAAGCACCTGGGCAAGCCCCCTCCCTCCGTTCGATGTGGCAACCTAGAAGAGAAAAATGGCTGCAGCCATGCTCATTGTAGAGCTGACACAGACATTTTGCCCACAATTAGTAGTGAGAGAAGAGAGGTCCTTGCTGAAGGCCCTTTGCCGCTTCTGCAGGAGAAGGGCAGAGTTGTTAATGAGAAAAGGAGGACCTTTGGTGGAAGATGACAAAGGAGGAAGGACTTTAACTAGGGGAAATGACTTTCTTTTTCCTCTTCTTCTGCCTGTCTCTCCTGCAGGGGTGGATGGCTCCATGTTTGAGGTCCTACCTCAGTCTGCTGACTTGCCTGATCTGCAACATTGTCGGGTCTGTGCAGATCGCTGGAAACCTTGCATCTGCAGCTACACCTTGAGCATTGAGTGGTACCCCTGCATGCTCAAATATTGCAAGAGCCGAGACGCAGCGGGAAAGACAACCTCCTACAAGTGTGGCATCCGCAGCTGCCAGAAGGCCTACAGTTTTGATTACTACGTGCCCCAGAAGCAGCTCTGCCTGTGGGATGAAGAGACTTAGCAGGACACCCGAGTGTTTTTCCAGACTGTGAGGACTTGTCTTCTACCTTCCAGACTGTGAGGACTTGTCTTCTACCTTCCTTCCTGGAGCTCTGGGTAGGACTACCAAGATGGCCGCCTGGGACTGAAAAGAGGAAGGGGGAGGGAGGGAGGGAGAACCCTGTGAGATGCCTCCTAAGCATGTTTTTGGGAGTGACTCTCTCCATCTTCTCCTGTAGAAGGGGCCACCTTCAGATTGACAGGCAGAGACTCCAGTCAACGTAATGTTGTCAAAGATGAGGAACATCAGAACAAGGGCTGTTGGCCCTCTTGACTTTTGAAGCTTCTTGACAGCAATGAGATCTGTGCCTGCTTTTCTTTTTTCTTTTTTAATGAAGACAAGGAGGATGTCCTTCCTGGACAACCTCCCAGAAAGGATTAGACACCAGGTAGGTAGCAGAATGCCTTTGTGGGTAGAGGATCTTCTGGACAAAGCTTGTGAGCTTCCAGAATGTCCTACAGTTGCTACCTGGAGCCACCCGAAGGAGGAAACATAAAGCCATGATGACGTTGGAACCTGCAAGGACATCACACTGATATCCCAGATATTCTCTACATCATTTTATGCAAGAATAAGAGATTATTTGAGAACGCTGCAGGATGGCTGCTCTCCTGCAACCGACTGTCAGTTACCACCATACCATGTGCTCTCACCGACCAGTACCCTGTGGATAACACCATCCCTGGCTAGCTCTGACGATGGCAGTTTGCCAAAATGCCTCCGATATATATGCTGCAAAATTATCCAGGTGGGTCCCCAAGTGAGGGTCCCCAGAGCCCAGCTCCTGATCTTGATTGGCTCCTTAATGCTGGAGGAGGTGGGAACATAGATCTCTGGCCTCTTAAGGGTGCCAGTCCCCTTTTTTCCCTCATCGCTCTGCCTTCATAAGAGATTGCACCCACCTCGCTTCCAGGGACTGAAGATTGCAGACAATCAGACCCCACTTAAAGAGGGTCCCTAAGCCCTTCCTGGGCTGGAGCTCCCTGTGCCTTCCTTTTCTCCTGATGAGAAAGTCAAATGCTGTTTTACTTTCTAATCTGTTTCTGTACCTCCTCTCCCACAAAATTGTGATTGGACAGAGCAATGCAGTGTGTGTGAGAGAGAGAGGGGGGGGGAGAGAGAGAGAATAAATGAATGAATGAATATTAAACTAAGGGGAGCCACAATAATGCAAAATATAAATGCCCCAAATATTAGAGAAAAATAGCAGAATATTTGGGTTACAGAAATGGAGCAGATACCCAGATATGAAGTGGGAAAGAAGAAGTGTGATGTTGCGTACAGTCAGTTCACACCTGGCACTTTGCCCCTCAGTTAAGACTTGAAGTAGCATCCTTTGAAGACCCGTAGAAGAAGCTGTGATACAAACGCACACAAACACACCATAGCAGCAATGCTACAGGCCTTGTGGGGGGGTTTTCCTACCATCCCAACCATCTCCGTTGCCTGCATTGGTGCTATCAACAAAATGCAGAAAAATGGTGGCAAACTGGAACATCTGGATTGCGTTTCTACAACACAATAATAATCTAGGCTTGGGTCTTTTGTCAGTCAATGTGTTGTGGGAACACAGCCAAGCATGAAGTTCACATTGAGGTTAAGGCCTTGCATTGGGGTTTTTTTTGTTTGTGCCTCCTTTGACTGACTTGTGGTTAGTGTATTGTGGAGCCCATCAATTGAGGTGGTTAATTTTGCAAAGAAAGACAGTGAAATGTGACAGAAAGTTGCTGTTTCTCAGGTTCCCACACCTTTGGATGGGCGGAAATTCAAGATGGCCCGTTCTTGTCACAATAAGTTTGCAGTGATGCAGAAAGCGTTCCCTGTTGAATTTCTGCCTGCCTTGCAGTTGCTTCTTCTTCTTCTTCTTCTTCTTTTAAAAAAAGGGGGATTTATTGCAGATCAGCTGTAGGTCTGTTATGCATCCTTAACTTCTTTCTCTTTCTGCAAGCTACCTTCCCTCTGTAATCTGGGCACTTCAGACCGTTGACTTTCAGGCCTTAAGAATTCTATTTTAAAAGATAATATTTATCTGTCTATTTCCTAGAATTGTGTGAGTGTCAGAGAGAGTGAAATGTGCAGCTGTGATTCGTGTTTTTGATTGGAGTTCCTTTGGCGCTCTTAAAAATGACCCCGGGAAATGAAATAAATGTAAACTTGAATGAAAGGTGTGTGGGGTTTTTTTTTCAAACAAATTATTTATGATATGTAAGCTGAATAAACTGATTTTGAAAAAAAAATATCTCTACGCAGTTTATGGGTTTGACAGAGGATTTTACTAACATTGCCCAGAGCTCTGAAATGTGCATTTCTGACTGTGATTTGTTCACTGTTTTTATAGCTATATGTCAGCATGCATAGGAAATCAAGCATCACTTTTATTAGTGTTAAGAATGTGCCATATTTACCTTATTTCTTACAAATGAGGAGTACTGGAGAAACTCAACTTATATGTCTCACTAAGAAACTGACTTTATCTATGTCTCTAAAGAGTGCAGAGAAAAAACAACAAAGATAATAATAATAATAATAATAATAATAATAATAATAATA